TAGGCAAAAGGTTGCAACTCGAAATATTGTTGGAGTGATTATGGCAGTTGGATGCAGTTTTGCCTTTTAAAGAATCTAGTAGCTGTCCCAGATCTCAGAGAAGCGGCTTGCAAATGGCAGAGAGGACTTAACAAGTGTTAGCAAAGGGAACTGAGCATAAAATGTCAGTTTTATGCAGAGTATAAGTTTCTGTCTAGATCTACAGCTTTATAAATTGATGCAGTGGGTTCCAGGCAGTTTAAAAGCATGAACTTGTCTCTCTTTACTCCCCTCCTTTCTGTAGTAAAGAAAACATTCTCTGAAGCCGTGAGGAGATCTCCTGCAGCACTTACAGGCGATCACCACCGTTGCTGTCTCGGGGCCAGGGCTGTAACTTGCACATGCAGCACACTGGTGAGATTTATGTCAGTGAGTGTCACGCTCTGCAGTGGAGCAGAGAGAGGTCAGGGGCAGCCAAGAGCAGAGTCCAGCCTTGGTGAAGGGGCTGAGAAGGTGATGTCAGTGCGTATTGCACGCGGGGAAGAGGAGCTGTTCTCCTTCCTCTGCCGACATGTGCAGCAGTCAGCGGTATCGTGAGCCGGTCCTACTCTTTCTGTGTGAAGTGCCCTGCCTGTTATACATGGCAGCTTTGGCTGGTGTGGCTGTGGGAGCTTCTAGAGAAGCAAGCCCAGCACTTGTGCTGCTGAGGCAGGAGCCTGGGGCAGCTCTGGTCATTCTCTCAGCAGATCTCCGTGTCACACCTGTGAGCCCCAGCAACCAGTCCTAACGTATAGGAGATTTTTCCTGGCTTTTTCCTGGAGAACCAGGTAAAAACCCTTGTGTGAGGGAGCACTACAGTTTCATTTCCCTCTTTTTTGTATTCTCTCCAGTACTACCACTAGGTCTGTGTTGGGTTTGGAGCCATTTCGTTTGTGACTTGCTGTTCTAAATGCGGTGCAAGTGTGTTCAAGTGTGGCATGTGACTCTTGCCGCTGCCAAGGCTGCATAAGAGCCAAGTCCAGCCAGCTAGACAGCCTTAACTCTTGTCTTGCACAGTGTGTGTGACCAGAGTAGTGATGCTCTGTCCCATACAAGCCCTCTGTTATTGGCTCCTTGTAGTGTTAAATGAAATCATGCCTAGCAGAGCTATTACAGGCCTGTCTTTGGGGTTTCTGTGCCGAGAGACGTTCCTGTGGGTGTTGTTCCAGGTCTTAGAGATTAGAGAGAGCAATCTTTGTGGCACATTTCACTGATTTTTCTGCATGTGTCCTTTCTGTGCAGTTTGTGTCTCAAACTGGTTTAAGAAACTTTAAGTCTTGGCTTTTCTTCCTTAGACATGTAAGCTTTTGCTAGTACCACTGCAGTGCAGCAGAGTCCTGACCACGTCTTCTGGCTGTGCTCTGTGAAGTCAATCCAGGCACTGTACAGTGTATTTTTCTTGTTCTTTCTAAAAGGTAAGCCTAAGATTGATTTCTCTTTTTTTCCCCTTCACCTCCTTTGTCTTTATTCTTAAGAAGTTAACTTTATGATGCTACTTTAAAAAGAAAAACCAAACCCCAAATGTCTAGTGCCTTTCTTAAGGGAATGCTGCATCGCTAGGCTGGATCTGAGTATCCACCCCTCTGAATGAAGAACCTGAACTAGACACGCTGCAAAGATGCCTTTGAGCACGAGTCTGCTTTGAAAGAGGTGAAAAGAAGGGACAAGAAAGATGGGCAATGGTCACTTCAACTATGACACTGTGTTTTGTAGCATTTCAACTGTGGAGGTTTCCTACTTTACCTGTTACTAACAGTGACTTGTCTGGATTGGTGCTGTACTAAGCTTGGTGTGAAGAACAGTAGAATTGTAGGACAGGATTGGTTTTGCTTATAACAAAATAGGAGTTCTGCTCATAAAAAAAATGTTGTTTTTTTTCCCCTACTTGTCAACCCTGGATGCAGAAAACGCTTTGTACAGTAAGAGTTGATGTGTGGGACCAGTTTGCATCTCTGCCCAGCGAGCAGCAGGCAAGTGTCATCTGTTCTGAGCAGGGTTCCCACCTGACTTACTACGTGAGTGCCACCATAGCTGAATGGCAGTCTGAAATGAGACCTGACCTGCCAGGAGTGTGGTAAAACTTATCTGCTGCACTGCCCTTGTGTGTCTGTCTGCAGCTGGAGGCAGGGAGTGTCTCTGCTGGGAACCAACAGGCTGCATTTCAACTCCAAACAGCTTCTCTGCATGCCCTTCACTGAGCCCTTACCTCGGGGGAGCCCCAGAGGCTCCGAGCACATCCAGCATGTTGCTTCCTGCACTAGACTGATTTCATTACTGTAGCTAATCCTGAGGCAGGGTCATTACTGTCAACCTGGGGTTTTTTTTCAGTTGAGCAAGAAAAAAATGCAACTCCCAGGGGCACTTTTCTTAAAGGTGCCACTTGAGAAATGAGTGAGGGAATAAGGACCCTTATTTTTAAAGTTCCTGATAGAAATCTTTCTTTTTGGAAATTCCCAGTGGGGAAGAAAGTTCTTTCTCTGGAATGACAAACACCAATTTGTATAATATCAGTGTTAAAGATGTGGAGATTTTTCACAAAATATTTAAAAAAAAAAAAAAAAAAAGTATAATAGTGTCATTAATATAAAAAAAATATAATAGCAGTATTTAATCCTTTCAGATCTGTAAAGAATAAGGAAAAAAAAACAAACAGAAGGTAAATAATTCTTACAGAGAGTAGCTGAGCTTTAAGGTTCACTTGGTTTAAAGTCCTCGTTTTGTTTGCAGATGCAATTGTTAAATGTTTAGAGGTTCTACTAATGTTATTTATTAATTGTTTCCATTCTGTGTCTGCTGCCCACTAAAGAGCTTCTTTCGTTTGGGATTTCATCCACCCGTGTCAGGGGAAAAAAAAAAAAAGGAAAAACAAAACAAAGTTTTTATTTTTAAATAAAATTTTCTTTGTTGTAGCACATAGTCTGTGTCGTGTTGGGTCTGTGAACAGCCTGCTCCAGCCTGGCTCGGTCATCTCCTTCATGGTGCCCAGGTCTGGGGTGGGCAGTTGGTCTCCTGGATCTCTTGCAGACCCAAAAACGATGTCCCCATGGGGTCAAATGAGGGACCCATGGGGGTTACTTGAGGTTAATTGGGGTCAAATGAGGACATGGGGGTTACTTGAGGTCACACAGTCCAAAAAAGATGTCCCCATGGGGTCAAATGAGGACAAGGGGGTTACTTGAGGTTAATTGGGGTCAAATGAGGACACAGGGGTTACTTGAGGTCACTCAAGGACCAAAAAGATGTCCCCATGGGGTCAAATGAGGACACAGAGGTTAATTGGGGTTAATTGGGGTCAAATGAGAAGATGGGGG